AAAAAAATGATTTGTAATTGGATTAATTTTATTGTCATAAATTAGTTTTATATAAGTTTTTTTAAGTGAAAAATCATAGCAACCAATGTCAATATAGCGTTTTTAGAACAATTAAATTAAATTTTTTTGAAAATAAACAATTGTACTTTTTTTATTCAATTGTACTGCTTTTTTAACTACGATGTACGTTTTTTGTTGATTTCAAATCTGGCAAGCCTAGGGCTAAGTGAAATCAAGAACCGATTTTGCCCATTATTAACACAAAACAATATTTGTCATTAATAAGGATTTTTGGAGAATTTCATCACTCTAGCTCATAACGGTCGGAACCTATCCGGTTTTCAACAAAAAGACTGACATACAGACATCCCTAGATGATCTTAAAATCTTATAAAAAATATTTATTACACTCTTAAATTTCAGATTTATACAAATTATATAAAGATATACACCAAAAAATATTTTGTTTAGACAGAGAATTTAGACGTAACCGCCTCAACATTGTTTATATCATAAAAATTTGTCTCGGCAAAAAAGACGTAAGCGACAAAAAAAATCGGATATAGCGTCAATATAAAATCGAAACAAACTGCATCCCATATTTTAGATGTAATAATATTTATTAACGGAGTTTTGGAGTAATGCTATGTCCTACTTCGAAGATAATTAAAAAAAATGCTCTCCTGTAAAATTTAGTTTTTGTCGGTTACGTCTTTTGTGCGAAAAGGGCTCGATATAAAAGGGGACTTTTTGGTACTTTTTCGTTCTTCAAAAGGTTCTTTTTGGATTTTTGTATAATATTGAACCTAGAAACGTGAAATTAAGCATGTAGAGCCAGGATTAAATGAGGACCTATAAAAGGGGACTTTTTGGAACTTTTTCGTTCTTTAATTGGTACTTTTTGAATTTTCTATAATATTGAACTTAGGAACATGAAATTAAATAAAATAGGTCTTTTGGTACTTTTTCGTACTTCACTGGTACTGGTACTTTTAGAGCTTTCTAAAATATTGAATATATAAACATAAAATTAAACACGCAGTATCCCAATTGAACGAAAATTGAGAAAGGATACTCTGGTCCTTTTTTGTTCTTTTACTAATACTTTTCGAATTTTCTATAATATTGAACGTAAAAACATAAAATTGGACATGCAGCTTCCTGATTGTATAAAAATCTGTATGCGATTTTTTGGTTTCTGGTTGAAAATTAAACATGCGTCATCCTGATTTAATGAAAATATATAAAAAGGCACTGTCTGGTACTTTTTCGTTCTTCAACTGTTTTTTTTTTTTTAATTTTCTGTAATATTGAGACTAGAATCATAAAATCAAACTTAAAGAGTTCTTTAAAAGGAGAATTTTTGATATTGCAGATATACATACATTTATAATAATGATATTTATTTTATTCCATTACGATGAGGGTAGCGAAGCACACTGGGTATAGCTAGTTAGCAATAAAATTATAATAATAATGCTCAAAAATAAAATAAGATATAAATACAGTCGATACACCCAATATCAAATTATTTACCCCATTTTCTTTATTAATCGTCGCAATATTTTTTCGAAATAGAAAAAATATTGCGACGCTGAGGCTGAGAAGAGACATAAATTTGTATTAAATCAGCGATTTTTATATTTTCTAAAACGTTTTCTAGGTGTCACCTTTAAGGTTTCAGCATATTAAGGACATTCATAAAATATTTGTCTAGTTAGACGATTCACCAATTTTGAATATAATGAAAAAATGTTCGAATTTGTAATGTAATTGTTTGAATGTTAAATTAATTAACATTGTGTTCGAAAGACTTTTCTTTCAAATCCAAATACAGAGTAAACCCCCTGATCAACTCAGAATACAGTTAGGGACATAATTATTTGTACACCATGTATTTTTTGATAATCTTAGAAATTAAACCTAATATTAAAACAAATTTAATGCAATTTATTTTTATTTATTTTTTTATTTAATTATAATAAAAAAAAATATTAATATTTAACGCATTATTTAAGATATAACAAAAAAAAGCTAAATTCATTGGGACAAAAGTTTTTGTACATTTTAAATATCATTAAAATTATGTTATATTTTTCTTAAAATTAGTACTTTGTGGGACCTCCTTTCGCATCAATAACGGCTTGCAGTCTTCTGGGCATCGAGCGAACTAAATTTTTTGTATTATCTGGAGATATTTCCTTCCAAGCTTCCTCCAAAGCTTTTTTAAGATCTTCCTTATTACGGGCATTCTTTTTACCAACTTTACGCTTTAAAATTTCCCAACAGTGTTCGATAGGGTTCAGATCAGGTGATTGAGGGGGTGAATTTAATTGCCTTGGTGCATAATAAAGCAACCACTCCTTGACTGAACGCGCAGTATGTTTGGGGTCGTTGTCCTGTTGAAATATCCAACGTGGACCAAGACCCAAACAATCTACGGAAGGCTTCAAATTGTTTTCTAATATTCTTTTATATTGATGCTGATCCATATTACCGTCTATAAAAACTAATCGCCCTACTCCACTGGCAGCCATTGCACCCCATACCATCACACTTCCTCCACCGTGCTTGACTGTTGGTATCAAATTTTGTGCATCTAACGCTGTATTTTTTTTTCTCCATACCTTTCCTCTGCTGTCGTTGCCAAAAATATTTACCTTTGTTTCATCCGTAAATAATACCGTTTCCCAAAATTCTTCATCCTTGTCTAAGTAACGCTTAGCAAATTCCAAACGTAATTCTCGGTTTTTCTTACTGATAAGAGGTTTTTTGCGAGGTACTCTGCTTGTATAACCTCCAGAATGTAATACTCTCCCAATGGTTTTTGGATGAACAGTTGTTCCTGTTGTATTAGCGACTTGTTCCGCTAAATCCGCCCGAGTTACTCTTGGATTTTTTTTCACCTCGTTTAAAATACTCCTCACTTCCCGATTAGAAAGTTTACTTGGTCGACCGCTCCTAGATGCATTTTCAACAGAACCACTCTTTTTATACTTGTTAACTACATATTGAACCGTGGAATGTTGTAAACTTAATAAATTACTAATAAAACGAAGCGATTTTCCGTTTTTATGTTGATCAATTATTAAATTTTTGATATCCATACTCAATTCTTTTTTCTTGCCCATTTTTGAACAGTTTATTGCAGAAAGTTTTGGAGCATACTACTTATTCTGCATTTAAAATTGCTTTACATGAAAAAAGTAACGGTACTTAATGAAAAAATGTAAACAAACAAAATAGCACCGTACAAATTATTGTACCAAGTACTCATATTAGTACAAATACTTGTACAAATACTTTTGTCCCTATGGTTTTTGCTTATTTTGTACCTTTTTAAACAATTTGTTGAATATTAGTATTTTTTCGAATGAGAATAAATTAAAAAAATATTTATAATTAAAATATGTTTAATATTGTTTAATATATTGTAAAATATTTATAATTAAAATATGTTTAATATTGTTTAATATTTGTTTTAATTTTTAAAATTATCGAAAAATACATGGTGTACAAATAGTTATGTCCCTAACTGTATGTTTGAAAAATTGATTGAATTTTATTTCATTATAGACCGATCCACATAAATATTGGTAGGAATATTTTGTTTTCTTTAAAATTTACTTATGTCGAATTTTATAGGTATAACAACATTTTAAAAGTCATTTTCTGTAGCAGATGAAGGTAATATGGGTGAAGTGTCAACTATTAAAAGATCTTCATAAAATTTGGTAAAAAGATTTTGGTTCCTACATAATTTGTTTATTTTTTATGGGTTTATTATTATCTCGATCCCTATAAATTTTGGTATGCAGTTTTCGAATTCCATAAAAGTTAAAGACTGTTATTAGCGTTAAACTTATATTTTGAAGGGGAACCTCTACATAGAGAAAGGCCAATTGTGGACCGATTCATATAAAAACTTAGCAAAAAGATTTCGGTTAATATAAAATGAGTTTTTGTCTAATTTCATTGCTGTACTTGTTTTTCTGGAGGATATACATTTTGAAAGAAAGAAAGATACACTAAACCTACCTATAGGAAATATTTGTGTAAAATTGCAACCCTCTAGCTCTTTCCGTTCGGTCTCTATCATGCTTTCAACAGACAGACGGATGGACATTGCTAGATCGTCTTAGAATTCAATAAGGACCCAGAATAGATATACTTTTGTGGATCCATGTCCTACATATATTGCAATGTTTTTTGATGGTGGGTATAAAAATAAAAAAATGTGTTTTATTCAAAAAGGGACAAAAAGTGGCAAGAATCGAAAAAAGTCGCAAATTTAGTTAATTTTGACAAGAGGTCACAAAAAGTGGCAAAGCACTTCAAAAAGGGTCAAATTGCGACTTTAATCTCACAACGGCAACGCTGAATACAATTCTGATCAATATGTGACAGTCCTTTTTGAATTACAAAGTTGGGCTCGAGAATTTATTTCCCACATTTATGGTTAGAAACAGTCCATTATCACATTCTCCAAGGGGTAAGAGCTACGTTCTAAAGTTTACTGAAGTTTTAAAAATTTCATATAATTTTCCATAAGTCTAATTTTTTCCCTTTGGGAGAACTGTGAAACCCGTTCTAATATTTTGAAGCTTATTCATTCTTTCGTCTATATATTATATAAAATTAAAAATTAAATAGTATTTTCTATTAAGTAAAACCATAAACATTTAAATTTATACAATGGTTTCCTAAATTATCTGATATTTTTAACAAATTTATGAATTGGAAATTCCGAAATTTCCCAGAAATTCTCCGGAAAATTTTCCCGCTTAAAACCCTAGGTGAAAGGTATAAAATGACAAAATGTGTCAAAAATCAACTTATTGCAAGTTTAAAGAACGGCCGAGCTTTGTTTTGACAATTCATTTATCAATGGTTTAATTAAACTATGTGTGTATTTAAGTTTTATGTATCTATGTATATGATGTTCAATTATTTTGCCTAAAAATCTGTTAAAAATTATTTTCATTATGTATTTTTGTAATATGGGTCTAAATGGGCTCGATTAAACAAATAAAATTAAATAAATAATAAACTTATAATAAATTTGTATGAAAATAATTGCTTACTTGTAGGAGCCAATCATTTAAAGAAGACGATGGTACCTGGAAAGGAAATGACGATGGCAAAGTAGTTAATAATCAACCTCAAAGAGTTATGGATGATAGAAATGGAATGATGGCACAAGCTGGGTATATTGGAAGGTAAGTGTTAACTGCCCGGCAAAAACTGAATTTCCAAAGTAAGTAGAATTCGAAGAAAAGACTACTTCCTTTTCTACTACAAGAAGTACTTATTTTTGTTCGTGATGTCCTAAAAAAAACCCTTATTATTTGGCTGCTAATAAGTTGTTTTGTAAATTGAGTTATTTATAGAACTATTAATGAAAATAGGGGTTGAACTCACAACATTCCGTCTGCCAGTTGGCCGCTATACTATCTACACCACCGCTCTGTTGTTTCTTAGAGCGCCAAAAATGTTTTCACACATTTTACCTACAAAGTGAGTCATTAAAAAAGTAGTTCATGGTAGCTATAGTAAGCCAAGTGTTTCCTGGGTGACTTTCGTATATACCCACCATCAAAACTTATGCTAATACGATTTAACTATTTATTAGATATTCATATGTTAAATGTTTTTATCGTGTATCGGTAGTAATATGCACATTATGGTGACTTTCGGCATACGGCCTTTGAAGAGAAAGAATTTTAAAATTCTAAAGAATTTTAAAAGGATATTAATGTTTAAAAACTGGTTTATTGTAAGGCGTTACGTAGGGGATACGGATAATTATGAACCGATCCACATTGAAGAGTATTTTTGAATCTTATTATGTTATGAGCGCCTTAGTATTTTTTTAAGTGGACCTTATATGCTTCTTTGATCCAATATGAAACGATTCATAAGAAATTTGCCAGAAACATTGTAATACCTATAAAAATTGTGTAGGTCGAATTCTGTTGCTACACTGGTATTTTCAAGGTAGTTTTTAAATAATTTTCTAAAGGGAACCTTACATGAGGAAAGGGTCAATTATGGACCGATGCTTTTAAAATAAAGTAGGAGGATTTATATTCATGAATATTAAATTTGTTTGTGTCGAATTTCATTGCAATACAGGTATTTATATCAAGTTATAAGAAGTAAAGTCATTTTCCGAAAGGGACCTTTTTTATACCCACCATATATTGTTTTTGTCATTCCGTTTGTAACACACCGAAATATTCATCTAAGACCCATAAAAGTATATATATTCTGGATCCTTATTAAATTCTAAGACGATCTAGCCATGTCCGTCCGTCTATCTGTTGAAAACACTCACAGATACTTAATACAGTTTGTTTGGTATTGAAAATGGGCAATATCGGTCCACGATTTCGCCAAGCCCCCATATAAGGTCCCCTTCAGAAAATGACTTTAACGCTCATAACCGTCTGAAAAAGCATCTATAGCAATGAAATTCGACATGAACATATTTTATTGGAACCTCAATATCTCTGTAAAATTTTATAAGGAGCGGTCCATAATTGATCCTACCCTTCATATAAGGTCCCCTTCAGAAAATGGCTTTAACGCTCATAACTGTCTAAAAGAAGCATCTATAGCAATGAAATTCGACCTGAACATATTTTATAGTAACCTAAAGCACTTTGCAAATTTTTATAAGGATCGGTCCATAATTTTATAAGGATCAGTCCATAATTGACCCTATCCCCCGAATAAGGTCCCCTTCAGAACGCTTATAACTGTCCAAAAGAAGCGTCTATAGCGATGAAATTCGACATGAACATATTTTATAGGGACCTCAATATCTTTGTAAAATGTTATAAGGTTCGAACCATAATTTACCCTACCCCCTTCAGAAAATAGCTTTAACTGCCTAAATAAAGCGTCTATAGCAATGAAATTCCACATTAATTAGGAACCTAAATCGCATTGTAAAATTTTGTAAGGATCGGTCCATAATTGTCCCTATCCCCCATATAAGGTCCCCTTCAGAAAATGGCTTTAATGCTCATAACTGTCTAAAAGAAGCATCTGTAACGATGAAATTCGACATGAACATATTTTATAGGAACATAAAAATTTTTTGTAAAATTTTATAAGGATCAGTCCATAATTGACCCTACCCCCCAAATAAGATCCCCTTTTGAAAATGACTTTAACGCTCATAATTGTTTAAAGAAGCATCTATAGCGATGAAATTCGACATCGTCATATTTTATAGGAACCTAAATCGATTTGTAAAATTTTATAAGGATCGGTCCATAATTAACCCTACCCCAAAATAAGATCCCCTTTTAAAAATGACTTTAACGCTCATAATTGTTTAAAGAAGCATATATAGCGATGAAATTCGACATCGTCATATTTTATAGGAACCTAAATCGCTTTGTAAAATTTTATAAGGATCGGTCAATAATTAACCCTACCCCCCATCTAAGGTCCCCTTCAGAAAACTACTTGAACGCTCATAACTGTCTAAATAACACATCTATAGCGATGAAATTCGACATGATCATATTTTATAGGAACCTAAAACGCTTTGCCCTTCAAGGGCATTTCCATTTTTTTTTTTTGGAAAGAATGAACAAATAGCTATCTGAACTCCTTTGGAAAATTTTTGCTAGGACCAATAGGTGAAAAGTTACACTCATTTGAATAAAACCCTGTATGACCAAAATTTTTAACTTTGGCCCCCTCTAAGTCCGGCAGTACTTGACTGGCAGAGCTGAAAATTTGTGTCTGACCTACTATCCAATAGTACTACATATGTAGATGTAATAAATAGGAAAATTGTTTTGATAATAACAAAAGCATCGATTCTTAAATATCAAAGTTTATTTATAACCCAGCAAAATCTTTGCTTACTTTGTAGGTAAAATCTAAAGAAATCAAAATAAACAAACAAACAAAAATAAAACAGTTACGTTTTCTGTTTTTTCCTTTTTTTGTGCACACAATATCAAATGTACATATATTTTTAGATAAACAGAAAATAAAATAGTATTTGTGTGTGAAAACCATTATTTGACGCACGATAAAACAGCTAAGCAGTGGTGTAGTGAGTGTAGCATTCAACTGGTAGATGGAAGGTACTTAGTTCAACCCCAGTCTGTGTCGACTTTTTATTTTTTCATAAATATTCTATAAATAACTCTACTACAAAAACAACTTATTTCCAACCAAATAATATTGACTTACTTTTGGTACATCTCAAACAAAAATAAGTACTTTTTCTAGTAGAATTGTAAGCACTTTACTCGGCAATGATTTGATGTTGGGTATATTTCTATAAAACTTGTTCTTGAAGAATTTCATTGCAATACTGTTACTTTTATGATAGTCATGAGCATCAAAGTAATTTTTGGAAGGTGACCTTATACTTAGACCGATTCTTATATAGTTCAAAAGTTAGATTTTAATTCCCATAAAACTTGTTCAGATCGAGTTTCACAGTTCATATCAAGTTTCACTATTTTTAAGCCAGTTATGACCGATAAAGTAATTTTTTGAAGGGGACCTTATATGCAGGGTAGGGTGAATTATAGACCGATCCTCATAAAATGTTGTAAACGTCTATGGTTTATATTAGCGTTGCGCGTTCATATTGTACAAATTAGGAAGATTTTCGGCAATTCACACGTACACAAGCATTGTTTGCTTATCTTTTTAAGAGTTCAATGTTAATAACATTTATTTATTTGGAAAGTTGCTTTCATCTTTTAAAGTGTATAAGAACAAGACAAATATATTGTTTTAAGTTTTTATACATCAAAATGTCGATTTTGTATCTCACTCATCTATGTAAAGAAAAGAAGTCTCAATGAAATACTTTACTTACTTACTACACGTACACAACCAGATCGTAAACGAAACTCACAAGGCGAATTCATATAAGGTGGTGTTATTAAATCAGCTGATAATTTTTTTCTTAATTCGTCTGGTTTATGTAGCTGTCAAAGTTTGTTATTGTTTACATTTTTATACCCTACACCACTTTAGTGGGGAGGGTATATTGGATTTGTGCTGATGTTTGTAACATATAAAAATATTCGTCCTAGACCCACCTTAAAGTATACCAATCGGCTTAGAATCGTTTTCTGAGTCGATTAAGCTATGTCCATCCGTCCGTCTGGCTGGCTGGCTGTCCATGTAAACCTTGTGCGCAAGCTGCAATTTTCAAGATAATTGGATGAAATTTGGCACGCACGTTTTATTTGACCCAAGGATGAAGCCTATTGAAAATGGTTAAAATCGGTCATAATTATGTTAAATATACAGATATATCGATAAAATACGGCACAACTAAGTTTTATAGAAGTCTTGATAACCCTGCCAAATTTCATAAAGATCGGGCCCCATTTGACCCTAGCTCCCATACAAAGTCCCCTTCAGAAAATTACTTGAATGTCCCAAATTAACTTATAAACACAAATATCGCAATGAAATACAGCACAATAAAATATTATGTAAATATAAATATATTCACAAAATTTTATCGGGCTTGGTCCATATTTGCCCCTAGCCCCCATATAAAGCCTCTTTCAGAAAATTAGTTTTTCATCAATAAATTGATGTATCGGAACAAGGGAATATTGAAGATAAATGCGATATTATGAAAAATAAATCACATTTAATATTCATAACTGGTGTAGGGTATCATATGGTCGGCCACGCCCGACTATACTTTCTAACTTGTTATATTTAAAAATGTCCGTTAAACGGAGAAAAACTTCGTTAATATTTTGAATTATTTTTGAAAAAAGGCACCATGAGAAAAATTGTCCGCGTTTGGCACATCAAAAAGCACCGCAAATAGTGCTAAAAGCACTAAATTGGCAACACTGAACAAGAGCGAAAAAATACAAAATATTTATTCAGTTCATGGTATACTTAACACGATTGTCAACATTTTTTTATATGTAGTTTGACAAACGTGCGGTTTAAGCCTGTATACAAGTATATGTATAAACAAGTAAGAAATTATAGTCGGGTGAGGCCGACCATATATTATTATTGAATTATCATCAAAATTGCGACCTGTACTTTGATTAAAATGTTTACAAGCCCTATTCAGGGGTTCACTTGTATGGTGAAATTATGGACCGATCTTAACCATTTTCTATAGGCTTCGTCCCTGGGACAATAGAAGATCATGTACCAAATTTCATTTAATTATCTTCAAAATTGCGACCTGTAG